CCTGGCTATTTTATGGTTGCAGCCGTCATTGTTGTTTGGCAGGTCCGGGCTGGGGATTTGAACCTGCCACCTTAGGTGTACGTGGCTGGCGCCTTAGCCGCTTGAGCCACAGGTGCCGAGCCTATCTTCTTTTCTTGTGTATGTCATTCTAATACATGGTTGCTATTTGTTCCTTTAGTATTCTAATATTTAATTTCATATTATAATACTAAAGGAACAGGTCCTAGGATTTTGCCACTCAGTGATTTAAGTCCTGTATTTTTCTACATTCATGTAATCCTCCCATTGTTAAAGTTGTACAGCCATCCAGGCTGTTTCTTTCAGCCATTAAAGCCTAAGCACTTCCCATGTGGCTAGCATTGATGTTTTCAGAATTGTCTGTCCTTTGTATTATCATTTACTTCATACTTCATGTTTATCTCCTTTCTGTCTCTTGCTATTTCGTAATATCTTCATGCACACAGCTTTTTCTTTAGCTGTTGTTGTCTGTGCATTCAGCTATGCGCCAGGCATTGTGCACTGCAGGAGGAACACAGGCTACACCCCTGGGGGGGTCACAGTTTCATTTGGAAAGCATGGATGGAAAAGCAGAGTCACAGCTCTCGCAAGCACCTGGAAGGAGGGGGTGTGTGGAACAGTATGCGGTGGTGATTTACACTGAGCATGGACCCTGCAGCCAGATTTGGCTGAGTCCAAACTCACCTTCCCACTTACAAACTCAGACTTGGGCAGGGGCCTTCACTTCTCTACCGCAGCGCGCTCATCTGGAAAGCAGTGTTCATGTCCTCATGGGGTGCTGTAAGGCCCTTATGCTGCACCCGGCACCTCATGGGGTCATAACTGTTGGGTGCTGTTTTTGCTGTTATTGTCATTCCTGAGAAGTATCCTTATGATAAACAATCAAAAGTTAAAGTCATGGACCCGGTAGATGGTAGTTACTTGCTTTTACTGACCCACTTTTTACCGCTCAGTCTCAGTCCATTATTGCCAAGGACATTCTCTAGTTGCCTTCCAGCCCACCTTCCTTTGGCTGATCTGACTTCTAGTGATGTCTTTGTTCATTGTTTCCAAATATGAGAGCTTTAAGGTAGCAGGAGAAAGGAAAGAAAGGAGAAGCCTTTGGTGGGGAAAGAGAAAGAAGTTTGTGGGCCTCCTTTGGAGTTTGACATTTGCACTTCAAGTATTTGTTGCAATGTGTGGTCTTGCTGAGGCTGAGTAGGTGTGGTGCATGTCAGACCTCAGGTGGGAATGGAGGGGCACAGAGCTCCCCAGGCCTGACTCTCAGAGCCTGATTCACGGCCTAGACACTCAGTAGCTGGGCATCCTCTCTGTGGCTGCTCTTCACTTAGGAAATAGAATTGACAAGATTGGCCACCTGAGAGTTGTGAGTTTTAAATGAGATCAAGAATCCCACTGCTAGATGGGCCCTATGGGTCACACCTATAATCCTAGGACTCTGGGAGGCCAAGGTGTGTGTGGGGGGGAATCCCTTGAGGTCAGGAGTTCAAGACCAGCCTGAGCAAGAGCGAGACTCCATCTTTACTAAAAAATACAAAAGTTAGCTAAGCATTGTGACAGGTGCCTATAATCTCAGCAACTCAGAAGGATGAGGGAGGAGAATTGCTTGAGCCCAGGTGGGAATTTGAGGTCACTATGAGCTATGGCACCATGGCACTCTAGCCTGGGGAACAGTGCATCTCTGTCTCAAAAAACAGTTGCATTAAGACTCTTACTGCCTACCATGGGGCACTTGTAACCCCATAGAAGGGGCTTCGTGAATGTTAGTGATTAAAAAGAACATTGAAACATTTTCAGTTCTTCTGCATTTTGGGGGGTGTCTGTAGGCTCATCTCTGGGGAGTGGCAGTGGTCTCCTTCCCATGACAACAGAGGCATCAGTGTCTGTCTTGACCACACTGGCCTGCCCTTTGCGCTGTCTTAGACCAATTTCTTCTGTGATTGAGAGATCAAAAATTTCTCAGGAACTTCAAGCCTGTCAGGTTCTAAAAGAAATAAAAATGAGGGAGAGGGCACATTTATAAAGACTGAATTTGGTAAAGAACATTTAGAAATCACTGCCTCATAGGTGGCTCTGGTCAGTACCTTTAGGATCTTCTTCAGTACATTATTTGTTCTTATTAATAGGATGGTCTAAAGAAGTTGCCTGAAATTTCTTTTCCCGGCATTTTATCTTGTCTGTTGTTGTTGGCTCCTATTGCGTTTCTTGCTCAGACTTCCAAGGCTGAAGCTAACGTGGGACATCTCCTCGGTCAGACCTGCACTTTAGGTTGGGCTTGGCAGAACTTGTTACTGGCTTGTTATGTTCTCTTAAAGACATAAAGTGTATGTGGCAAAAGTTAACACTTGCCAAATTCAAGTGAAAGCTATATTCCTTGTACCTTTCTTTCATAAGTCTGAAATTTTTCAATGTAAAAAAGTTGAATGCATTCTCTTAAGTGCCTCATGTGTTGTACTTTGTAAGTATTCTTTATTAAGTATGATCTTAAGTGCTTTTGTATATGTATAAAGTCTAACAAGTTTGTGAACTCATCCTAGAAAAGGTGCTACATACTCCATTGCTGAGTATCACTATGGTCACCTTTGAAGTGCTCCCTGTGGAAAGCTGTACACCAATGCCAGTACCTAATACACCCTTCAAAGCAATTTTAGAACTCTTTTTCTGAAATGGCCATCAGAGCTGACATCATATTACCCTTGATGTCTGGAATGTCACAAAATATCTTCTTTTCAATATTTCCTTTGTCTGTGGGTAAAGAAAAATTCATTGGGAGCCAGATCAGTTGAGTAGGGAGGGTGTTCCAACACAGTTTTTTGTTTACTGGCCAAAAACTCCCTCATAGACAGTGCTGTGTGAGCTGGTGCATCCTTGTGATGCAAGAGCCACGAGTTGGCGAAAAGTTTACATTGTTTTCATCTTTTTCACATATCCTTTTCAGCACTTCCAAACTGTAAACTTGGTTAATGGTTTCTCCAATTGGTACAAATGCAAAATGAATTATCCCTCTGATATCAAAAAAGGTTAGGGACATCATTTGGATTCTTGATTTGGACTGATTCTTGATTTTTGGTTATGGGGAATTGGCTGACTTCCATTGTGCACTTTGACACTTTGTTTCAGGGTCATTTCAGTTTCATCACCAGTGATAACATGGCCCCAAACATCATCCTGCCTCTTCAAAAGGTCTTGGCAGACTTCAACTCTCCTTTGCTTTTGTTTATCAGTGAGGTCCTTCAGAACACTTTTTGCACACACCTTCCTCATGCCAAGGTTTTCAGTTAAGGTTCTCCTATTTGTCATTATTTACTTGGTCTGCTGTGCTTCTCACAGTCAGCTGATTTTTCTTACTCATAATTTGACAAGTTTTTGCAATGTTTTCATTAGTTCTGCTTGTTACTAGCTGCTCTAACCTCTCTGCATTAGTGACAATTTATCTTCCCTCAGAAAACGGTTTAATCCATTTGTACACTTCATGTTTTTTTCGTGATTAGCCCCATAAATTTGAACTAACATGTCCCTGACTTCACTTCCACTCTTGCCAAGTTTAACAAGAAATTTAACGTTTGTTCATTGCTCTAATTTAAGCTCTGACATTCTCACAATGGCACACAAAATCATGCAACAATAATGAATGCCACTCAGCAAGACCCACCACACTTTGACATGAATGCAGCTGTGAGACACTGATATACCGAGGTTGTGAAACCTTACTGAGTTGTTTGTACAGTGCTGCCAACATAGATGCACAATGGCAAGTTCATGAACTTAATTGTCAGACCTCTATGTAACTTTTTTTATATAAACTGGGTAAGTAAGACTTATAACTTACAGAAAATGTATTCAGTTTCTCTGGTTTAAAAAAAAAGGGGCCAACCACAGTGGCCCCTATTTGTAATCCCATCACTTTGGGAGGCTGAGGTGAAAGGACATCTTGGGTCTAGGAGTTTGAGACTAGCCTGAGCAATGTCGCAGGACTCTGTCTCTACAAAAAAAAATAAATTAACTGGATGCACACCATTAGTCCTAGCTACTCAGGAGGCTGAGGCAGCAGGATTACTTGAGCCTAGGAGATCAGGGTTGCAGTGACCTGTGATGGTAACCCTGCACTCTAGCTTGGGCAATAGTGTGAGACCTTGTCTCTAAACAAAAAGAATAAAAGAATGTAAGGCATTGCTTTTTTTTGGTACCACCTCAATGAATATGGGTAGATAAAATATTTGTATGTATTTAGGACACAAACACTATTTCTTTCCCCTGTCATCAGTTGAGAAAAATCACTACCATTAAATAAGTATTTTCTCTGTCTTCTTTTTTTTTTTTTTTTTGAGACAGAGCCTCAAGCTGTCCTCCTGGGTAGA